CTTTTAATCATTTGACAAATGACTTCCACAATATCTGGTTCATAGTTTGAGAGTTACATGACATGTTCAGATGTTAAACTGTATTTGCCATTGTAAGGGAAGAAGAATGGAGTTTATTCAGCATACATAACGCAGGGCTAGGTTTGGGTGCTAGTGGCGTAGCTGGGTGGGGGGATTCCATAAAGATTTTTGAGAAAATTGTGTATTAACAAGGGCCAGGAATTGGGGTTTGAAGTTTTTTTTATACTTTGTCAGACCTGGGCGTCAGTTTTGAAAAGAGGGAGGGTACACCACACTCTAAAGCTTTGTATTTAAATGGAGTGAACCTGTTTTAAGTAAAGTCAAAGGAGCTGCCGTACAGAATGAGTAGACAATTCTGATTGAGAGGCGTATAGGTGAAATAAATGAGCGCATGTGTGAACCAGGAATAAAACAGCAGACGAAGGGCATATTCAGTTGATTTAATGTAGATACACGGTAGCTTTAACATCCACCTCTGTCATTATCGTTAGAGAGGAGACCTTTTTTTTTCCCTTCAGGTATCTTGTTCCTCCATTTGATCAAACTGCTACCCCTCTGTCTGATTGGACTCTATCTGAATGTCAGCTGTAATTGTTCTGATACTGTGCGTAGCTTCTCTGATTCAAGCTGTATTATCACCTTTTATTAAAGCTGCAAAGTAACACTGCTGAAAGAAAAAAATTAAAACAATTCTATTTTCTTTCTTTTTTTCTTTTTTTTTCTCTTTAACTACTTGCCCAGATTTTGTGAAACAGCTCATAAACATTTGACCTTGATTCAGAGTAAGATAGAACTGAGGAAGACTGGGAGAGAAAAACGACTTTATAATCAGTGGGGAAACATCTCATCTTTACCAGCAGGCCTTAATGTTATTAAATGTTAATTCACATTGGAGAGAAACTTGGCTTGCCCCTCTTTCAGTGACCATATATTTTCATACGTGTCACTCTTTTGTACCTTCAGTACAGCTCAGTGTTTTCTTTTCAAAATTGGTTTGGATCTAAAATGTGTTTGTGTAACATCTCAACTTAATTTGAAAAGAGCAAATACACGTGTAACTAGTATCAAAGGCTCACGTCCTGAAGAATAAAACCAAATCCACCTTTTTCTTTTGACTGTCCTCAGATTTGATAAATTAGTAAATTGATTGGCCATCACTAATCCTTTTCTACACATTTAGGCCTTTTAGAGATGAATGAATCCCTTTTAAGCACAGAATATTCAGCGCTCCTCTGCTCTAGTTCAGTATAGATGTTACAGCCAGCTGTGTGCGCCAAACAAAAACAAATTTCTATCACCTCCCCAGTCCTTTTCCATTCACTTCTCAAGGACCACCTTTTGCACTGTACGGGCTCGATGATAAACTTTCATTTGATACTTATTGCTCCGCAAGATGTCGCTTAAGAGTGTGTCAGAATAACACTTTTGAGATGTTACTCCTTACTTTTTTCAGAATCTTGTCTGTCTGTTATTTTTTTTTTTTCCTCTAAAAACAAAAATGTGATTTCTTAAATGATTTAAACCTATAAAAGAGCAGCATCTAGTTTGTACAAGCAGTCTTTTGTTTGTCCAGTTTGTTTTCCAATGTTGATTAAAAGCTGAATTTACATGACTGTTGGCTTTTCTTCTTATTGTGCTCTCCCACAGTCTGGTCAGTGTTAGAAGACACTTGGACTTAATTATTGATCCCCTCGTTTTATGAAAAAACCTACAATGGTCAAAAAAATAACATATACCTGACAAAAGTAATGATAAAAGTCTGAAAATTAACAAATTAAAGTCAGACATTGCCTATAACTATGCTCTAACAGAATTATCTTCTGTTCTAATAACTTAAAACTGAATGAAAATAATGGTAGGAATGTAAGCCTGAATGATCTCATTTAAAGTTTGGGTTTGTGACTTTAATTTTAGACTTATTGTATCCATGCAGTCAGGAGAGTTTAAAAATGCTTCATTTAAAAGCAAAAACTCATTAAGTTATCTAATTGTTTCCCAAGTTGGAGTCTAGGAATAGATTAAAGAACTATACCTGTGTACTTGGTTCCAGGAAGCCAAAACTAAAAATACAGCACCTGATCTATCTTTGGGAGACTTGAGGTTAAAGCTGGGGAATCCTAGATCGACGTTATGGATAAACAAAAATAAATTGCTAAGCCCTTAATTTAGTCTTTGTTTGAAAATCATTGTAGTTTAAAGCAGTGAAAGCAGCGATGATGTAATAAAACCCAGCCTACTTTATCTTGAATATTTTGTTTACAATGACAAATTTCATCTAAAAACAAACTAAAAGTGCTTTGTTATACTGTATTGTTGGACACTGCTGGACATAAGCAGCATCCTGTTGACACTTATTAGTCTTGGTATTTGGACAGTTCTGAATGAATCAAAATGTGTGTCAAATAATGCACAGTTTAGGATTTTTGACTGAAACCCAGGCATCGAAATTACTATTCACACACAGGTTTGACTGGTTAATTTTTTCCTTAGTAACAGAAAATGTGAAAACTGCATTTTGTCCTTGCTTGTTGAATTTTGGCTAGAATAAGCTTTGGTTCTATAAAACAAAACCTAAAAAGAAATCTTTAAAGTGCAAATAGGGTTTTCCACAGATGGTTTTGTGAGCACATAGAAATATTTAAAACCTTTCCTCCCTTTCGACGTTATTGTATACTTTTTTTTTTTCCCCCTATATTATCCTACATTTATTACATCGGTCAAAGCAGGACAACATTTTTTAGCAACCTTTCCTGTTTAATACTACACTTTTCCCCATTATTAACTTGATGAAGCTTGTTTATTTTTTATCTACCATCCTAAAATGTAATTGTAAAATTTTTAGCCAAAATAAATGCAATATATACATAAACTCTTAACGTTTGTTCTGACAGCCGTATGACATTTGACATAGGGTTGATGTGCAGACATAAGAGCTAATTCAAATGCTCGTTTGAACATTGATTGTTTCATAATAAATTGACAGTTCTAATTTGAATAAAAGGTAACTTCACCAAAGCTAACAAGAAGTGTTTAAATCACAATGAAGTAATGACATGAAATTACACCACATCTGGTAGATTAGGTCTTTATTTGTGAATGTTACAAATTAAAAAACTATCTGCTCATTATGAACCTTGGATACTAAATTGTAATATAGTCATATTGTGGATGATCAAAATTCAGTTTTGGCGTCTGCATAATCTGTTGCCTTTCATATCCATAGATCACCTTATGTTGGAACTTAATGGGGCATTAAGGTCTTTTAATGTTCAGGGAGTCCTGTTAGGTCCAGGTAAGGCGATAGACTGGTGAGGAGAACTGGCTGCTGCTGTGTGACCAGAGGAACAGAATTTTGCAGAATGCTGACACTGATCAGTGCTTTTTTTTTTTTTTTTTTTACCGGCCGTCTTGCAGTCATTTAATCTTATCACCACCATTGTTTCTCAATGCTGCCAAATTGTGGAGCTGGTGCGTTTGTTTTGCATTGTGAAGGCTAAGATCACTTGTTAGTATTATGCCTTCCTATTAATATTTCTCTGGCCTTCAGCTGACATTTTTTATTATTTTTTATTCTAAGGACACATTCTCAGCCAGCGGTAATGAAGGCCACGAGAAGCACCCTGACTTATACAATAGGGAGTTCATGTAAAACAGCTAAAGTAAAGCAGCAATGCTCTGACACGGAGTAATGGCCTGTGTCAGGTCTATACCACCCATCTTCATCCGCATGGCTGCACTCCACTGCACTAAACCCAGAGGCATGGTCTGTGATGCAGCACTCTCTGCCCGGCTGCTCCCTCAGGATGCTGCTGGAGCGTCAACCCTTTATGCAGCTGAAGCTATACTTACAAGAGCTCACATGTAAAACTTGATCATGCCTTACCTTCACACAGGGAGACTCCATTTATCATTGGAGCCATTACATCTTACTTAATATCAACCCTTCTCACATCCTAGTGCTGCAGTGATTGCTGTAAAGTCGTAGTCGCCCTCTAGTGGTGAATGTGTGGATCTGTGGGTGATCATTGGCATTCTGGAGAGAGCTTCCTCATTGATCTTCATTCAGAAAGATAGAACACTGCCGCAGCGGGAGTGCAATACTGGAGCAGGATGCAGTATCTGTGAGCAATATCCTGTGTTTATTCTACACACGGGGGTTAAACCCTGCAAATCATCTTTTAGAGGGAGGGTCTCTGCACCAGTTAAACACATCTTATGCTTTTATGGTACAATTTTTTGGATGTGGAGATTTAAGGCTGAGATAAATGTAGGTGTTTAGGCTTCCATGCATGCTACCTCACAGTTACAGAGACTTGGCATCGTTTTAACAGAGTACAAACAGATTGTCAGGAAAGAAATGAATCATCAGTACAACACACACCAATACCATTACATATACATTTATATACTATGTATAGTGTATTTTTTCCCCCACTCAACCTGTGGGTTTTTTTTTCCCTCCGAGTTTGGATCGTCTACCAGAGGCCTTGGAGTTTGAGGGGTTCTGTATGGTTCCTTAGCTGTTCCTAGGACTTTGCTCCTCTGGACAGGGATCTCAGATGCTGTACCTGGAATCTGCTGGAACCAGTGGTCTGATAACCAAGTACCACTGTTGCCTTTCCCTTCCACATCCTCTCTAGCCATTGGTGGTTCTAGACGGGGGCCTGGAGGGGCCCATGCCCCTGTAGAACTACCTCTGACCCTTGTAATGGCTACTCAAGGACATAATACTAAATACAATTCCTATGAATTTATGAACTGGTACATAATGTATAAAAGGTCTCTTGGATATATTTCGTATTTTTACCTTCACAATTATTTCAATAATGATTTCAAAATGAAGGTGATGCACTTTTAGCTTTAGTCTTACTGAGACAGGGGCTG